ATATATAACGCACGTGTATGTGCGCTATCACACAGTAGTGTGACAGTTAAATGCAAAACGAAAAGATACCGGGGGCGGAGAGAGATAGAGAGAGAATTAAAAATGGGAGAAAGAAGACAAGAGAGGGCAACAGCCGTCGCGTTTCCTTGCTTCCTGTTTCTATCCTGGACATCTATCTGCCCTTTCTCTGCGATACGCTCTTTATCACACGTTGCGCGCGTGCTCCGGACAAATATTCACAGCGGTGTAGATAAGTATAGGTAGATAGATACGTAGATACCGCGACACCGCGGGGAGATCGCGCGTCAATGCTCCGAACGGCGATCTGCGTTTTCGCGAAGTATTCGCGAGCCCGTGTCATGAACCTGAGCGTGCCAGCAACGACGCCGTCGATCCTCGTGCTTCGTCCAGCCTCCTCTTTTCGCACAACCATCCGCGGCCTTTCCAGTCATAGACCCCGTCGGCCCGTCGATCGACCCGGTCGTTCCGTTCCTCTTCCGCTCTCGCCGAACAATCGTCTCGTCGCGGCGATATCTCCACCCAAGCTGGCTACCGACTACCTCGTCGTCTTCGTCGTCCTCGTCGTTGTCCTGACGCATAGAGAACGTGTAGCGACACCGATGCACGTACATGAACCCCGCCGCTTGCCGTCACAATGCCGCCGTCATTCCGTTCCCCCGCGTATAGCGCACCCGCTGTCTATTTACACGCTCGCAACATACGTGCGCTACGAGCCGACTGATCAGCTGTGTGTCATGACGCAGGACGCAGGGGCGTCGAGTCAAGTGTTCCCACTCCTCCCGCAACCTCTCCCTCCCTCCTGCTTTTACGCACCATAGAGTGTAGAGCTCTATCCCTTCCACGTCAAGTTCCCCAACAGTTCTATTCAACACGCATGCGCGCGCCAATACTACAGCCGACCGTCGACAGTGGTCTATGATCGGTCTCTCTCTCTCTCTCTCTCTTTCTCTCTCTCTCTCTCTCTCTCTCTCTCTTTCTCTCTCTACCTTTCGCGGACAATGTATCTCTTTTTTTGTTCCTGCGTACGCGACCGAAATAAGGACACATTACACGTATTTTCTTGATACAGTAACATAGTCAGGGCTGTAGCACAAGGTCCTCTTATTTAAGAATCGAAGCAGATAAGCAGATGAAGGATATATTCGGTCGAAAATACATCAATAAAATAATACAGAGATATAAGAAATACAATATGATAATATAGAGATATATAATACGTTAATCATTACATAGGAGATAATTACGTTACTTTACAGCAATTATAGAAAATTACACTATCCTGCACCAGCATATGCCTTATCGCTGTTAGACATTTATCAATAATTACAGTTGCTGATAAATATCTTTAACTGCGGGTAACGAATTAATGTGTAAGTTGTATGTCTATGTATGTGTGTATGTAGTACTTTGAAACAAGGAAAGTGAAGCAGAAGAAAAATAAAAATGAAAGAGTAGGAAAGTAGAGACAACAGTAGAGTAAATATATAAGAATAACAGGAAACAATTATCAGCATCAAAACTACAAAATACTGCTAGATGTTAATTAGATGATCAGCCAAAACTTTCCAGATTTATTTTCTCGAGAAATGGGGATTATATTTACATAAAAGAAAAAATGATGTATATATATATATTATTTTCAATATTTTGGAAAATAAAACAAATTTTATATACGTATGTAAATAATAGTAAAATTAATTTTGTTTTTAATATCGGAAAAATTTATTTCCGAAATTTACTGTGTTACTTTCCATAATACTAAAAATGGTAGTTATAAACTTGCGGAAAAGTTTAAAAATAAAGTTGCTATTAACTTTTTAATAAAAACAATGCCATTTTCATTATCGAAATTTATTAGCGTATGTAATTTATATCAAAAATAATTTTTATTTATAATTTTTTTGCGATAAAAAAAATTCCATATATATTTATTATTACTTTATTTATCACACTCATGTATTCGGGAATATTTTAAAACTATTATTCTAAATTTTACACAATATGTGTAGTGTAGTCTACATCACATTTCTAAGGAGCTCTTCCCTCTCCCTCTCTCAAATAGAGCAAAAGGAACAGGCTACGGTAAATTTCCATAGGCCTTCTTTATTTGTTCCTAAACAAGATATTAAAAAGCAATGAAGAAGATCGTTTAAAAATTTCACATTTTTAAATTTTACTACACTAAGGTGAACATCCGTAACAAGAAAATCTACTTCTCGTAATTTTCACCACGTGCGTGCCGAATTATCGAATTCGATTTCGTCTTTGTCCGTTTAACCGTCCAAGTTTCGACCTTGCCAAGCCTACAGGCGCGAAGAGGATAGCAATAGGGGAATGGAAAATTTCGAGAAACGCAAAGCGCGCAAGGCGTAGGATTTCACACGGCGTAAGTTATTTGTCATCACATTTAATCACTTGTAAATTTAATATTTATCTCGCGGGCAGCTGACTATTCTATCCCGCGAATTCAAGAAAATTAACTTAGTTACTACTTGTTAACTAAAATTACTTAACAAGAAAATTAAAATCAGGAGATTAGCGAGACATTATAGTTCCTTAGCGGATGCAAAATTATCGTAAGTCTAAAAAAAATGAGATCTGTATATTTATATATTGCAAAATTTACTTGTACATTTGAATTCAAAAATATTTTTTTGCTTGTTATGTTTTAAGAGATAATGATATAATAAGAGCGTTGTATAATTATATTTTTCTTTGATTTTCTACTTGTATATTATGATAAGAATTTGATGAAACCGTTAAGCATTTGAAAATTTTGTGATAAATTCTATATCTTGCAACTTAACAGTTCTTTACTTTTCGATAAGAGCATTAATCTATAAGTATTATAACATTTCTGTGTGTATATGTGTGTAAATCTGTTAAAGTACTATATATAAGTAATCTATATAGAACGATGTACGTAAAATCGACAGAATACAAGCAGATAATTCGTAAATGTCGATAGTATAATCATGGATATAATCATCAAGCTTATTTATCGATTTCGGGAAATTTGACAGCTTATTTAGACGTCTTTCAAAATGTAGTATTATTTCATACTCCAAGTAATAGCGTTTTCGAATGTAGCAGGTTTAATCGCTTTGAGAGCGATTAATGACGTCATTGCATCATCTCTGCCAATAAAAGACTTGAATTCATAGTAAAATATAGTGATTAATTGATCTGAGTTGGATTAACCTGTTCGAAAACGCTATAAGATAATATCTTATAGGTCTCGTCATTGAGTATGAAAATTTGTAGAATGCCAAATTTTGCATTTCCAATGATCGAGATAATATTATCATGAATTAATCATATGATTCATTGATATGTTAGCATTATCATTATAAAATAAGAAATTTTCAGAGAAAAAGCTCTTCTAATATATATTTATTAATACGAGACATTGATTACAACATTGATTAATTCATGAAAATAAAAGTGTAAATATTGTTTGTGCCTTAGTTAATTTTTTAAATAGATTATAAAAAAATTTTATAATTCAGTAACAATTTTCCAAGAAAATACTCTGAATGCATTAGTCATATCGCATATACATGTTATTGATTGCAATATGTAATAAAATGCTAAAACAATAATTGTTATATTATTTTTATACGAAACTACGATAAAGTCACTCGAAAGATAGCTGATGATCGAAAATCATTCACGCTAATTGTGTAACAATATTATATAATTATGCTCGCACGCGCGCACGTGATTTTCGTTAATCATTCATACAACCAATATATGTATGTATAAAAAAGAAGATTAAAATCAATATAAGATTAAGAAAAGAATTGATTAATTTGACGATTATTATTACATATGCGTGTTATATAAAAATTAAATCTAAAAATAAAATAAGCTCAGCGTGTATGTTACCTATATGTATTTTATATACATGAAATTTTCGAATAAATTTTTATTGAAGCTTCTTTCTCACTGACATAAAATCTTTCGATAAGCGCGAGTTTGATAAACGAGAGAATGGTACCATAACGCGGGTAATCATGTCAAGCGAAATAAAATAGTCTCTTGTGACTACGGTTGCGACTTAATTAATTAGCCGTTTCCTCTGGTAAACCGAATGGAAACGCACGATCAGCAATACACGCAGTACATAAATTCGTTCTTATTAAGCATCAATTGATGTTGTGACAAGTGTGAGACAAAGAACGCAGTCAATGGTCACTGTCCTGTCATATATCCACTTGTAGTTCCCACATCAATGTGTATTGTTTTTTCAAATTAAATAGAGAGATAGAAAAAGAGAATAAAATAATAAAAATATCTCAAAATTTTCCTGAATAATATATATATTTAGCTGAAAAAAAATTGGGAAAAGATAATATTTTAATATAGTACATTAGAGTGTAATATATAGCATATAGTATTCTCTAGTTCTATTTTTATTTAATATTATTTTATTCTGATTTTCGATATTAAGCTTTGTAACAAAAGCTCAAGAAAAAAGCACTATTAAAAAATAAACTTTATTCTAAATTAATTAAAGAATAAGAAAAATAATACTATAATAATTTATTCTCAGAGAGAATACGAAATCGTATCTAATTAATTTATATACATTTAATATAATAATTTATCTATCTCTCTATACTTTAAAAATTCGTCAACATTTTTCAATGTTTAGAAAGAAAAAATTGAGCTTTGTTTTTCAATATCGAACAAAAAGTCGTTATTCTTCTCATTACGACATGTAACTTTTTTGATTTAAAAGTATGTGATTGTTTTGAAATATCATGTGTATTGCGACTAGAGTTATGAACTAGGAAGAGGCGAAGAAATATGAGCCAGTATTAATTAACCGAGATCGTCCGTGGCATTCTTCGCGAGAGAAAACAACCGTTCCTCTACGACGGACATTCTTTTAATGCTCGCTAATTGCATTGTTCTTAGAAGTATTGCAATAAATGTTCATTTTTCCGCGCCAAGAGAGGACTGTTATCAAATGGATTATCTGCGAAATCAACGATTCGCGTTGTATCACTTTAAGGAATCATTAAGTACATTATTCGCGATTAGATTGAAGGCGACGTCGCGCCGATTCCAATCTTGCAATGCTTTAATTATTCGACAGGTTTTCACAATATTTTGTCAAACAATTCATCTCGATTAATTCATACAAAATATATGAATTGCTAATTCAAAGAAGGAAACTACATTTTCTCCATAAAGTCCAATTACCTACTACTCCAATTTCTTTCGAACGCGTAGAAAAAGAAACTAAATAAATTCAATATAAAATAAATGAAGCATCAATTATACTATACTCTCGTCAGTTAATTTTTTTAATGGATTTTGCTCTTTAATTTTTAGAATCTGGCACATTAGAAGTTTAATTAGCAGAAATACATAATGTTGAACGTTATGAAAATGTATGATTTTTCATATTTTTTTCATGTCAAGGATTATTTTTATTAAAAAAATTAATGAATAAATAGGATGATAAAGAATAGCAGGACACTAAATATACTTTTTCGGTACACTTTGTAATTGTTCATAATGCAGAAATAGAATATCTCAACGCTTCTGTCAAGAGATATTATATTCAGTTCCAAATGACGGATTGGAAGCGAAAATTCGACTTTGAATTTACAAAACGAGATAAAAAGATATATATATATCGATAATTGTGAGGCAAAAAATAAATCTCTCGTGCAACGCAAAAGCATAGCTGGGGGTATTTCACAGAAGGCGATCGCGTCGTGGCAACACAACAGATAAAGTCCGCCGCAGATTGAAAACACGCGCGCGTCACAAAGCGCGTGTTTTACGAGTTACTCAGTTTTAGGTCGTCGCACATGGCCCCCGTGGCTTTTTCATTGATAACAATATCGATCACACGCTATTTATCGCGTCAGTCACCGCACATGACGTAAGATCTACTGTTTTCTAATCTTCTCTTGATATTCAATGAATGATGAAGTCAATATATTTCACGAATGATATATATGAATATAGATTGATCGCTATGTATTAAGATGATGGGATATGCTTCAAAGTTTAATTAAATAAATTTATTTCATCTAACAAAATATTATAGTACAAAGTACAGGTACAATTTTTATGTCATCTCATTAATATATATTCAGAAGAGAGATAATAGACTAAGAAATATTATTTCCCTAGTTCTATCTAAGTATGATGATTATAATAGTATAATATAACCTTATATAAAGTAATAAATAATATCTACAAGAAGAGAAGTGTAAATATATCTATTTTTTTTTACTATTGCATAATTACATAATTACACAATTTTTAATTTGCAATATTGGTTGCCTCATTTTGCACTTTCTCCTTTGATTGTTGTTTGATGCGATAATCTGACAGAGCAGCCTTAATTGCATCCTCGGCAAGCACTGTAATTTGAAAAAAAAAGAAAAAAAGTCAAAATTTGAATCATGAAATCTTAATATATAATCAAGTATACATTAAATCTAAATCTTATTCTATTAGTATTTCTAAAATGTATATTTTTTTTATTTATTCTGATAATACTGTATTATTCATACACAAAGTTATTTAAAGTTTTTCAAAACTTTGTTATTTAAAACAAAAAAATTCTAATTAAGATCAGCATGTATATTTACTTGAACAGTGCAGCTTGACAGGAGGAAGGCAAAGCTCTTTAGCAATATCAGTATTTTTCAATGCCAACGCCTCATCCACCTAAGAAACAAACAGAAAGTTTAAACAAAAAATTATAAGATTTTATATCTAGAATATTTTATAAAAATATATTGTCTTTCATTTAAAAGAATAACAAAAGAGGGAATATATATTTTTTTCTCTCAAGCATTGTATTGTGATAAATTATAGATTATGTAAGAAACATCTCTCACTGTTTTTCCTTTGACCCATTCTGTCGCCAGAGAACTCGAAGCAATAGCAGAGCCACAACCAAAAGTCTTGAATTTAGCGTCAACTATCTTGCCATTTTCATCAACTTTAATCTGAAGTTTCATCACGTCACCACAGGCAGGGGCTCCTACAAGACCTGTCCCGACTTGTGTATCATTCTTATCCAATGAACCAACATTTCTCGGATTGTCATAGTGATCTAGTACCTGTCATGTCGTAAAATCATAATATTCGCCTGTCATTTCAGAAGCGTAATAATGTATAAATAATAATATATTGAATTTTTTCTTAAAATAATCCATTAATGTATGTAATTTAAATGGTAGCCGAAATAAAATAAAAGCATCAAGATGACGTCAAAGTGACGCAAATCGATCTATATTGACAAGAAATAGATTACACCATATTACACCACATAAACAAACAAGCTATTATATAACAATATATCTCGAATTATAATAAAAGATAGCTATTCTCTACGAAATGCATAACAACCGCTATATGTATAAAAAACAATATTCTCTAACAATAAGAGAGAGATCCAAAGTGTTGATGCCAACCATTTAACGCCGTTTAAATCAATCTTAAAGTATTAAAACGCAATATTAATACAAAACGAATAAAATTGAGATCACTTTCAGGATTACATTTATAACGCTGAATTAAATAGAATTATGTGAATTCAGATGTAATAATAATAATAATCAGAGGAAAAATCGCCCTGATGCGTGCAAGACGAACGCGATTAGAGGTTAGAGCACCGGTATGATGACAAACACGTAAATTGATTATATTTACATTCACATGATAAAACACGGCTGGAACGCTCCGTGAGATGATCTTGGACGTTGCCCCAATTCTAACGGGCAATGCCCCGAATAATGCCATTTTATTTTAATGCGCACTTTATCATAAATCACGATAAACTTGAACGATGAATATGCGATAGACTATCCTTCCCACTTCCTACTTCCCACTTCCCATTTCCCGAAGAATCGTAATCGTAATAATAAAGGCCGTATTACACTAGGGGTTGCGAGCTCGATTGCGATTGGGGATATGATGACAGTTGCGGATTGACCAATCAGAGCAAGGCAGCTTGCCGGCTGATTGGTCAATCCGCAACTGTCAAACGTATGCCCAATCGCAACCGAGCCCGCAACTCGTAGTGTAATACGACCTTTATCGAGTTGAAAAAAAGCATTGGCCGCGTTCAGCAGAGAAAACCGCTTATTGTTAGTAGCAATCGAATGTGATTGGTTCTTACTTTTAGAACCAACGAACCAACGTCGAGTGTTGACAAGACGATAACTAAGCGCTTTCTCTGATGAACGCGGCCATTGTCTTGTAGTTGTATCGTCGAAAAATTCTAACCTTGAAAAGTGTTCTATTTATTTGAAAGTCGAAAGATATTATTAATAAAGTTTACGTATATACATACAAAAGATAATATGCAGATAATATTTTGGCTCAATAAGCGATGATTTTTACTTTTTAAACCTAGATTTTTATGCAAAAAGGCATCGATTAAATGTATTTTTATCAAAATCTAAGTAGAACGGGTTATTCTAAACATTTACCCGTATCAGAGAGAAGAATGAGAGTCGCCACGCTGCCGTTTTTTGTGTAACGCTTTTTCTAGGTCGTACCCCGTATTTAATATCTATTCGATCTTTTTGAAATTTGTGTTCGTTATTTAATCAGCATATATGAGCTTCTATGTGTGTATATAAAGAGCTGGTAGCTGACCTTATAAAATAGGTATTTAAAACAAATTATGATTTATACAGTATTGTTGGAGACTTGGTACTTATTTATTTATATTTATAATAATGATAACATTCTTTAAAATCAATATAATTGACTGATTTGGAAAAATTGATTGTGTTATTAGCGATTATTAATATCAGAATGGAATATGAAGCTGAAGATGTTGATAATATGCAGAAAATAAATGAAAATACTTCTAAGGAGGCTGAGTCAGAGGATGAAGATATAGAAGAGGAATATTGCAGTGATGCAACATATTTAGCTCGACAAATGGCATCAGCGGAGAAATTATGTCAATCAGACTCGATAGTAATAATTTGAAAAAAATTCAATGCATATATATATAATAAAATTTTTGTAAGTGGAATATAACTTTATATTTACTTTTCTCTTATTGCAGAAATTGTATAATTTGCGTGTGCAACTGAGGCATACAGTGCCACCACAACATGTAATTGAAACACGTGCAGGATCTCATATGCCAACAAAACAGGAGATAGAAAAGTTTGAAAAAATAGTACCAATCAAGAAGGGCTTATATTCTCTTGATGAAGACGACATTATTGCTACTAATTGGAAAGCATTTTGTAAGGTTTGTATGTAAAAATAATTTTTGTTTAATATTTGTTTTTAACAAGATTGTATATTTGTTTTTATAAATTTAAGTTTTTTATTATACACATATATATGATATATTATAAATGCAAAAACTGCTTACAATAAATTTATTTTAAAATAGTTACATAACTGGAACAAAAAAATGGTTCATCCATTCTTACAATTAAGAATTGATGGCAGAATAACATATATGCGTAATACTATAGAAAGGCGAAAATTTGTACAATTCTTAGCTGATGGTTTACCAAATAGAACTTTATACAGTATCTACCATAGATTTAGGAATTTATATGGAAATAATGTACATAGAAGGTAATATAAAAAATATTTATACATATAAACCAACTTTTTTTTTTCATAAGAATAGCAGCAGTCGGTATTTTGACTCTTTAATTAAAACTTCTAGGTTTAAACCCGAAGAAGATGAAATGATAATAGATCACTTAGAAAATAACCCCACTCTTGATCAAAAACGTAAGTATGCTGATTTGGCTAAAGTTCTTCGGAGAACAAGAAATTCTATTTGGCGGCGTTATCAAATATTAAAGAGAAAAAACAAAAAAAAATCTTAAAAATTTTTAGATATTGTAGATATTATCTATAACAAAAATGTCTACATTATGAAATGGCCCTTAATTATCTTTTCAGAATTTTAAATACAAATATATATTAATATTTTAATACATGAAAGAAACTTTTTTATTATTTTAAAATGTATCAGAATTTACAATGCCTTACACACACATACACATTTTCTTATAAGTTTCTTTCTCTTGTATATTAATATTTATATTTATAAATATATTTTAATAAGATATAAGAAACTCTTAAAATAACCATAAGAAATAATCTTATATTGACATAATTGTCAGGTTAGTAGAAATTACGCATGTTGATAGTTCTTAGAAAAAGTACAAATAACAGTTTGTTTATATATATCCTTTTTCATATAAGAAATTACAAATTTGCCCATAAAAAAATGTTCAAGTTTGATGTATAATAGGAAAAAAATATATCTATATATATACATAAATATACACAAATACATATAATCAATTAAAAATATAACATTTTTATAAAATATACTTTTATATTTTATTGTGATTTGTATATTCCAAAAAAACTAATCTAATCAAACCTAATTTTTATTATAGAAATATGGAAATTAGTTTGGGTTAGGTCAGTTTTTTTTGGAGGTGCAGGGGAAGGGGCTCCGCCTCTCCTCCGCCCACGCATTCACTTTGCAATGACTATACAGCACTACAAAAAATTATTGTTTTATTATTATATATATAATAGATAGAATAATATATATTATATATATATATATAATAGAAAAAAATATAGCATTTTGCGTATTTTTAAATGCATATATAGTGTCTCTATATATCCAATATTTTTTATAACTTTGTACTAAATCAAGTATAATGCGAAGTATTTGCCATCTGGTTAGATGCATTCTTGTTTGTTATTTAGCTCATTTCCCTATGATTTCTTTATATGCCCTACGAGATATTTCATCCTGTTTTTTCTGGATGCTGTGCTGTTTATAACTGAAATAACTTACATTCAGATGTACAGCTTCTTCCAATTCTCTTATAATGTAGATAAATATCTGATTTATTGAAACAATTATATAGGCCCTGTGGGAAAAAAAGTTGGGTAAATATATACTTTGAGTTTTAAAAAGCCATTTAATTGTATGTGATAAGACAGAGAGATCCATGTTATGACAAGAATTATCGGCTGAATAATACTTCTATATATTAGCAATACAAAAAAAAAAAATATATAATAAAAGATAATACTAAGATCTTTATAATACAAATTTTACTTCGTTTATTATTTAGAGAATAAGATTTTTACAAGCTTTGTGTATATCATTAAATATTTAAATGTAAATGATCAGTCTCGCTATGTATGTATATTTGTACACTCCTCATTTATTTTTTTTCAATTTATATAAAATCATTCTCTAATCTAATAATCCATTTGATTAAAAGTCTAAATAAGTCTATATATTCTAATATATGTTTTAAACATATTTTGTTGAAAATACGTATTATATGTGTTTTTACTGAACATGTTTTTAAATGGGGTTTGTCTTTTCCATTATATTTTCAAAAATGAATATTTTGTTTTACAAAAATATATCCGCTTATTAGATATTAAATATATGTATAACTTTAAATTTTTGTTTGTTGAGATGAAAAATGTGACATACTAATTTTTGTGATAATATCTGAGTATCACGATAATTATATTTTTTTTGTATTTTTGTGTGATCTAATTTATTGTTATGTAAATTTATATAGTATGAATATGTATGATTATCGATCGTTTAATTGTGATGCATTTTGACGGCAAGATATATGAGCCGACTAAATTTTTTGAATAAAATTTATTCGTCTCTTTCATCCAGTTGTTATTTACGTGACAATCACAGTCCAGAAATTGTGTACCTGATATTACACTTCTAGCATCACTATGTCTGCACATCTCAACTATTGAACTTTTTGAGCAGTTTAAGAATCGATCAGTTAATAATCGTGTCGTATTTTTTATGTACATCTTTATAAAAAATTTATGTAATTTGCATACAAATTTCTTAATCTGAAACAAAATGTGTTTTTAATGAATTTCAAATTTCATACAGTCTTTTGTACATTTTTCTTATCAAAACCAAATCTATTTTTTTTTTTCTATCTTTACACTTATTTTATTATATGAATGAAGTCTGAGCAAGCTAAAAATAGGCAAGTAAATCAATGATCTGATAAAGAAAAAAGATGAAAGCAAATGTTAATTATTTCCTTCTAAATAATGCAATAACATAAACAACTATTATGTAATATGTGGTACAACAAGGTCTGGATTATATATATGTGTGTGTGAATAGATATAAAAATATATATGTATATATATACACATGATATATTGATATATGCGCAGCGCCCATATATTCTTATATTATTATACTTATGACATCACAAATAATAAAAAAATAGTTCGCGATTTTAATAATGGCAATTTATTATATTTTATTTGGGAAACTTCGTTCTTCATAATATGTCAACGTCATTATATTCATTATATAATTTAATGACATCACTGATTTATTGTGTTTCTAAAAGCAAAACACTAGCATGCAACAGCCTTGTAAGTGCAAGGTATACTCAAAGAATGTTTCTCTCATTGTTAAAAAAGAACTGTATGTATATTTACAGATGACGTGTAATTTGTATTTCTACATGTGCGCACACTTGTTGTTTCAACACATAGGATTTACAGCTGCATCAGTAGCATTCTGTCATAATTACTCGCCAATGACATTAAAAGTCTATGCGACACACTGTTAGGTCTTAGAACATTTGACCTATCACAGCGACCGGTCGCACACCTGCTCCATTATTCACGTTATTCATATTCACGTGAATATGAGCGACCGAGTGGGGTATGTGATGATGATGATTATGATCGTCGACAATCACCTCGCCGTACTGGACGCGGCAGCGCTTCTGATGCGCGAAGAGGCTACCGCTGTGGCTGTACGCGGCGCCGCATGTCTTGCACACATACGGCTTCTCGCCAGAATGGGTATATGTGTGCTCCTTCAGCGTGCTGAGCCGCTTGAAGGCTTTGCCGCACGTTTTACACAAATAATTTGCCTCGCCGGTGTGCCGAGTCAGGTGTCTGCGAAAAGCCGAACTCACGGCGAATGCGGCACTACATACGTGACAGACGAACGGCTTGTCGCCCGTATGAATACGAATGTGATTCGCCAGACTCGTCGTCGTCGTGAAGCCGCTATTGCACGTCTTGCACACGTGCGGCTTAACGCCGGTGTGAGTTCGCATATGATATGTGAGGGATGAATTGCTTGGATACACCTTGCTGCAGATGTGACACAGGTATTCGCGCGGCACCTTCTCCTTTGGTTTGTGCGTTCTCTGATGGAGGATGAGACGAGCCTGACTAGCGCAGACCTTCCTGCAGACGTCACAGGTCACGGGTTCGGCCTTCGGCTTGTGCATTGATACGTGCCGTCGCAGACCTTTCTTGGTGGCCATGACTTTGTCACAGTGCTGGCATTTGTACTCTCCGGACCCCTCCTCGTCACTCTCCTCTCTCTTGACGTTTTCGCTCTCTGGCACAGGATCCACTGTGTTATTAACGGGCATATCGTCGTCATCCGAATCGTATAGTTTATTGTCATCCGCCAGATTATCCAATAATCCGTGTCCATGCTTCTCCGCGTGTTTCTTCAACGTATCCGGCCTGAAGAACCATTTCTTACATACGGTGCACGAATATTTCTTATCGCCGTGCACGAGGGCATGCCTCCTCAAGTTTTTCAGAGACGAACAATATTGATTACAAATCTCACATTTATACAACTCGGGCGCGTTCTCAAATTCATCTGTTTCATTCGCAGGCCCAGTCTCGTCGTCAGTGTCGTCTTCACTCTTGAGCTCTTTCTTCGGTTCCTTATTATCCTTTCGCTCGTTCGTATTGATCTGTTTGATCATATCATTTACCTTCTCTGTATGAGATTTCAGGTGTCTCACGAGACTTTGAGCTTTCGAGAATGACGCGTGACAGAGTTGACACGCGTGCGGCTTCGACGTGTGTATCTTCTGATGGTTCTCCATATTTTCCTGTTTGTAAAACATCTTTAAGCAGACGTTGCATTTGTACTTTTTCTCGTGGACCAGCGAATGCTTCTTCAGACCTTTTTGCGTGGCATATTGTTTGGAACAGACCTTGCATTTAAACTTTGACTCCATTGAATCTTGACTGTCGCTGCTCGGCTCGTAATAATTATCGCCAATCTCGTCATCGCTATATGTCTTAATCGATGCCAATTTCGTTTTTCTCATGGACATACGTTTTTGCGGGATGCTCTCTTCCTCTTCCACATCATTGGGTAAGTTCTCGCTGACAAAATCCTCCTGTTCTGTACTGTCCTTCTCTACATACTGATCAACTTCCTTGATCTCGTCATCTTTATTTTGTAGATTCATAATGTTAGACGCATCTTCCTGTGCGTCTTCCTGCACAATTGTCATCTGGTGAACCTCGTTCTCTGATATGCAAGAATCCTTCGCTTCCTCCTTACTCCCTTCAAATCCAATAGAACATATAAACAGCTTGTCATCTGACATATGAATTTGATTGGTATTTAGACTGATTTCGCCTCTGGAAAACGAGTCAGTGGATTGGATATATTCTTGTGGATTTGCGACGACCTGCATGTCTTGTTTCACAAAATAATCCTCTTCAATATGATCTGCCTTTTTCGATAGCACAAATCTCGTTTGTAGATCCGTCTGTGTGTAAGAATCCTAGAAAATGATATATATATATATATATATGTATATATATTATATATGTCAACACAGATATACGCGATGACAAAATGATATTTACCGTGATATTACATTTAGCAGGCTTATTATAGTACATGCGTAATCTTGTATCAGAATGTTGACACTGTTGTCTGAATTCGTGCGCAACGCTCGCCTTATAAATACAAACGTCGCATATTAAAGAAGGTAATCCATCCTGTTCATGTATCTCGATTGAACCGCAGACTTGTATCTTCTGAGAGAGACCTGAGAAATTGTTTACTTCTTGATTAGCTGAGAAGATCGGCGATAGATTAGTACCCTCGGTGAGACAAATCCTGCACACTCTGTCCATATTAATCGGCAAAGCAAAGTAACCCGAAGTCATTGTTCCGTCCAGGATAGAACATTCACCTGTCATAAGTTATCTGTAAGATAAGAAAAACACAATATATAAAATATAAGCGCGTTTCTATGTAAAATATATAATTATAGTTATAACAATTGTAACTTGTATACACATACATAATAAACAAAATAAAAATTTCCTCGTCAAATAACTACAACGAAATACGGAAGACATTGTAGCGATATTACACATTAATTAATATTACATAGTACATTGATGAGTTTTTGCACGATGTAACGAAATGGTCTCTCGTGACATCGAGATGAAACAATTTTAATGTATTTCATGACATGTGTAAACGGATCGAATTTCAAAGCGAGCACATGACACGAGAGACGTGCGGTACCTACACGGTGCTCCGCGAGAAACGTGTCTTTCCATCGTGCAAATTTGAGGCGTACAGAGAAAGAGAGAAGGAAAGACGTGGGAGATTAATATACAAAATCGAGCGGTTCTCAACCTCTCGGCACGTCGTCGGGACATGCGACATGCCACGATGTGTCGTGCCGATACGCCTCCAGTGACGCCCAGGCGAATGAATGCGCGATCAATCTGACAGTCCCGTCCGTCCGAGATCCTCGCTCGCGGATCCCTTTTTCCTTTCTCAGGGCGCTGCGTTCCCGCGACGACCCCGCGTCGCACAGAAACGCAATACGCGCTGCCGCATGATCGATCCGTTGATTCTCGACGATACTCGACGACGAGTCGAAGCAGGCAGGTAGATATTTGACGCTCGACTTGGCTCTTTGTCTCCTCCGACGACGATCGGCCACGAAAGTTGAGAGCAATCTGAGACGAATACTCCGCGAATGGGGGTGTGGGTGGGTCAATACAAAGAACAGTCGAGCGTGTATGGATATGCGACGTATGAATTGTCGAGGGTCTCTCACAATCAGTTATAAATTATATTGACGATTTCGATTAATCGTCCGGCGACTCGCTGTCTCTCTCTCTCTCTCTCTCTCTCTCTCTCTCTTTCTTTCTCTCTGAATACGAAATGGAGGATATATCTGTCGTTTAAAAGAAGCTGGCGAGATCATCGGGGCTCTGCAATTATATAAGACATAAATTTGTCTGTGTACGTTTTATTAAAGGTTCCTTTGGATATTTGCGTAGAAATCAACCAATCGCAACATGTGTGTCTAATAACAAGACTCAACGACACGGCATTCTTTACATTTTATATTTGATTGGTTGATTTCTCAGGTGTATCCTGTCAAACGGAAAAGATTTAACATCAAAAATTAGCTCAATTGCATCCAATATTTCTTTATCATCATCAATGCCGTAGACTTCACGTATTATCTTCCTTTTTATATTGTCCAGATATTTGCTATATTGATAATCCTCCATATCTTTATTAAATAAATGAGACTACGATATAGTCCTTTCCGTCCCTGCTTCGCAGTGTAAAATTAGTTTTAACTGCATTGAAATCATAATTAAATTAACATTAAAAACACTAACCCATGGACATAAGAAATATGTGGACGGAGCACAAGGTACATTTTCGGGCGCAGTATATGAAGACCAGTGTTCTCAACCTAAAAGAGGGCGTTTATACCAGGGCCATAAATTATGATATATTAAAAAAAATTATGGTACAATTTTGTAAAAAGTTTTTTTTTTTTTTTTATTAAAATGAGAGTTCTGCTTTTCCGAAAAAGCAGAGCTCTCATTGGATATCGCTCATCGCGTTCAGTGTGCGAGAGCCACGAGGAGTCCTCGTGGAGACAAAAAATAATTCTTGATTCTTCTTACAATACGTTACTTGGCATATCAAATTTTACGATATTTATTTCGAATTAAATTTTTATAGATGTTGGTTTGCGAGAATTGGATTTTCATTGGAGCGACCAAGCAATGGCCGCGTTCGACAGAGAAAGCGCTCATCTATCGTCTTGTCAACACTCGACGTTGATTTGTTGGTTCTAAAAGTAAGAGCCAATCACGTTCGATTGAGCGGTTTTCTCTGTTGAACGCGCCCATTGCAACGGAGTTGACACGTCAATAAGATTACATACTCGATGAGTGAATGCGCGCGAGATAGGTGTTTGCCTACTCTCTTGACACATTTCTTATAGACATGCTTTTCCGTGTATGTAGCCCTTCTCTCTTATTCAGCCCCGATCTGTCAAAAGATGTGAACGTTAGACAGGAGATTGAGATATGCTTACGAATCTCGGTTAATTGCAATTAATTAATCAGGGCCGCGTCCGATTGAGCCGAGACGAGTCTCATCAATGCGCGCGAGAAGGGACCCTTTAAAGTGATATCGCGAGCAAGGCATTTAATTTTTTTTTAATGCGGTCATGGCACTCCGCAAGGTAAAGGGCAACTTCGAACGAATGTTCGATAAAAATCTGACGGATCTGGTGCGCGGGATCAGAAACAACAAGGAAAATGAGGTGATCCTCTCTCCGCTTTGCGATTTCTTTTTTGCTGAGATCTTTATCACGTCTCAACCTAACCTTTTTTTTTTCCATTTTTCATTTTGCAATCTATTCTATTTAATAAAGAAATTTTATAATTTTTTTTATTAGGCGAAATACATCGCGCAATGCATCGAAGAGATCAAGCAAGAATTAAGGCAAGATAATGTGGCGGTCAAAGCAAACGCTGTGGCTAAGTTAACATATGTAAGTTTTTATGTCGGTGTTCAATTTGATTCAATTTGTTTCAAGTATTGGTAGAGGTAATTTATTCTTATATTCTACAGCTCCAGATGTTGGGGTATGATATTAGTTGGGCCGGCTTTAATATAATAGAAGTGATGTCATCAGCAAAATTCACTTATAAACGAATTGGCTATCTTGCTGCAAGTCAGAGCTTTCATGCAGATATAGAGGTAAAATTTAATATGTGTTTCAGATATATTTCGTGAAGATTTTTTTTAGACATTCAATTATGTACTTGTATATTTTTCTTATAATTTCATTTATAGTATTGTTATTATATTTATTTATTGTGTTTCATTTTCTTCTTTTGTATTTATATATATTCATCAATTTAAAATTAAATGAATATATAAAGTAAAAGGAGATGATAATAGATGATTACAAATAAAATAAAAATTATGTATGATTTATTTATATATATAGTACACAATATTTGTATTTAGTACTTGGCAAATTGTTAAAGATATAAGGAAAACATGCCATTTTGTAATTTACTAATGTTTTTTGTTATAGCTATTGATGTTAACAACAAATATGATTCGTAAAGATTTAAATAGCCAAAACCAGTACGATGCTGGCTTAGCGCTAAGCGGATTGTCTTGCTTTATTAGTCCGGATTTAGCGCGAGATCTGGTTCATGACATAATGACGTTGTTGACCTCTACAAAGCCATACTTGCGCAAGAAAGCAGTCTTGATGATGTATAAAGTATTTCTGAGATTTCCTGAGGCCTTGAGACCAGCTTTTCCCAGGTTGAAGGAAAAACTCGAAGATCCGGACAGCGGTGTTCAAAGCGCAGCAGTAAACGTAGTTTGCGAGTTAGCCAGAAAAAATCCAAAGAATTATTTGAGCTTAGCGCCTGTTTTTTTTAAGCTAATGACAACATCTACAAATAATTGGATGCTTATCAAGATTATCAAATTGGTGAGTATTATCGTTACACGATTTTAATAGAAATTAATAGAAAATTGACAATATTTTTTACATGTTCTTGGCAAAACACGAAATACACGGAATCGCTCTTGTAGTTTTACTTTTTTTAATAATTCTGTTATAATAATCTTTTAGTAGTACAAAATTTTTTATACACATATTTGGTTCTTATTGTAAGCGATGTTGCTTTTGTTTGTCATACCCAGTTTTCAACTATAACTCTGATTGAGCCAAAGCTGGGTCGACGGCTTACTCAACCATTAATTGACCTGATTTCAAGGTTTTACAATACATAATTTTTTTATGTATATAGTGAAATTTTATATATATATTTATATATATGTATGTGTTTATATGCAATTTATGCATATTGAGAGTAATATATCTGTATTAATAAGCACTTTGTAGCATTGAATCATATTTACATTGTATTTTACGTATAAAGTATTTATGCTGGTTTTTATTTCACATTTTATTTATTCAAAAAGTAAGAAAATTAAGCTACTACTTTGTATAAAAAAGAAATTTGTTAAAATTTAGTATTTCTTAGAATGCAACACACGACATTGTATTTTCAGTTTGGAGCATTGACACCTCTAGAACCTAGGCTTGGCAAAAAGTTAATAGAACCCCTTACCAATTTGATACACAGGTATTTAATATATTTTATTCTAAAGCATTAAGCATTGTAATGTTATTATTGCTTGTATAGCATATATAGAGAGCTCTTATCCCTTATATTTATTTATATGTTTATTTCAACTTTGTTTATCTTATGTAATGTGTTTATATTTATTTTTATATTGGTAGTTTCATTATTTAATATTATTGATTTGTTTCAAATCAACTTTCAATCTAATTTATAATATAATACTAATCCCTTTTCTCTAGTACATCTGCAATGTCCTTACTGTATGAATGTATCAATACAGTAATAGCTGTATTGATTTCTATATCCTCCGGCATGCCAAATCATTCCGATTCGATACAGTTGTGTGTTCAGAAATTGAGAATACTGATAGAGGATTCTGACCAAAACTTAAAATATTTGGGATTGTTGGCGATGTCAAAAATATTGAAGACACATCCAAAAAGTGTGCAAGCTCACAAAGATCTTATTATGCAATGTCTTGATGATAAAGACGAAAGTATAAGACTGCGTGCCTTGGATTTGTTGTATGGAATGGTTTCCAAGAAAAATCTAATGGAGATAGTTAAAAAATTAATGGTGCATATGGACAAAGCTGAAGGCACCACTTATCGTGATGAATTGCTCTCAAAAATTATTCAGATTTGCTCACAAAACAACTATCAGTTCATTACCTATTTCGAGTGGTAAATATCAGATTTTCGCGATATGCCAAATCTATTCTCTATAAATTATAATAAATTAAACAGTATATATTTGCAGGTACATATCTGTATTGGTAGAACTTACACGAATGGAGGGCACCAAGCATGGATCACTAGTAGCAACTCAGTTACTTGATGTAGCAATTCGTGTACAAGCTATACGAAAATACGCGGTTCAACAATGTGCCTTACTGCTTGAGAATTCATATCTATTAACTGGCCAGCCAAGGGCGACAATGTCCGAGGTTTTATATGCAGCAGCATGGATTTGTGGAGAATTCTCCAGGTAACAAGAATTTTTTCAAATGTGATCTGTCTCATCGATATAAAATATAATAATTTAATCGTAATAAAATAGTTAATAATCTGTTAAATTTTAATAGTGAATTGGAAGATCCTTTGGCGACATTACAATCTATGTTGCGATCGCAAGCTTCTAGTTTGCCAGGGCATATACAGGCAGTTTATGTTCATAATATATTAAAATTGGCTGCAGCGACATTTGCTAAAGCAGAAAAAGAAAAAGATACTGGAACTATGGAAAAGGTACAAAACACAATATAATTTATACGATATAATGAAACTTTAATATTGTTTTTATGGAATAAATATGCACATACTACGATATTTTAAAGTACGAATATATCTATTGTTAATAAAATATGTAATTCTAATATACGGTTTTATTTTACAGATTTATGGATTGAAAGACAAAATAGCAGCTTTTGTCTGTAGTGGCGATTTGGAAGTTCAAGAAAGATCAAGTTCTGCATTGGTATTGCTCGAGTGCTTAAAAGAAAATCCTGGTCTTGCACAGGAATTAATGGAGGCTTTTGAAGGTGAACTTAATCCAGTTGCACCAAAAGCTCAAAGAAAAGTAGGTATCGATTAGTAATGTGTATATATATTTTCTTTCTATATATTTTTTTTTTGAAGATAGATTTTATCTGTATAAATTGAAAGAAAGATTGTATACATCAACTAATGTCCATAATATAAGTTATTAATTTGTGTCTTGTTATATAAAACTTTATAATATATTTTAGGTTCCAATACCAGAAGATTTGGATTTAGATTCCTGGATCAATGATCCACCTTCAGAGAGCTCAGACTCAGAAGATTTAGATATGAATGATATTTTTGTTAAGGCAGAGAAGCCAAACGATTCATACTCCAAACGGCAATTGAGCGAACCGTCGCTGGAAGAACTTGAGAGGAGGCGTGAAGCGAGAAAACTAGAACAAGAAAATAATCCTCACTATCTAAAAGGCTCATTTAAGACATCGACATCATATCACAATTCATCGAGCGCATACGAAGACTTCGAGAACATTCCTGTTGCAGAATTAGACATCCCAATCTCTTTAAAAATTTCAAACAACTTGCATAGATGTCGAGATATAGATAGCAGCCATAAAAGGCATAAAAAGCATGAAAAGAAGAAGAAGTCGAAACAGAATAAAAGTATTTGTTTTATGTATAATATTGTATTATTAAATGTATTCTATTGAAAATTAGAAATTTTTAATGCTGAATTGTTTTCAGATAAAAAATCTGCATCTGCAGAAGAGGATGAACTGGATGACAGTTTACCATTACAAATAGTGAATACTGGTATAGGGGAACTACCTCCAGGTGCAGAAATAAGTGACAGTGACGATTACGATTTAGTAGACGCGAATGATCCACATAGAGCTTTGAATATCGATTTGGATATGCCTTTACGAGAGGATGAAAGATTGCCTGTCCTAGAACATAGAGTTATTGAAAATGATACGACGAAGAAGATTGAGGAAAAAGGAAGCAAAAAGGAAAAAGTAAATTTTTTTTTTTATATTGGATATTGTAACATATAATTTGAATTTGTTTAATATCTATTTATGTATTTTTTTCTGAAACATTTTTCAATAATATTTATCCATTTTATATTAATAGGGACATAGAAAGTCTAAAAGAAAAATCAAGGATGCCATGGAAAACAAATTAAATGATCAAGCAGTGAATAATCAATCGTCTGACTTATGGTTGGAAAGTAATTCGTCTCCTGAGAAAGTGCAGTCTCCTGATGTTGGAGGATACACAGAAGTGTCCAACGAGTTACAGAAAGATAGTAAACGCAAAAAGACAAAGAGTCAAAGCAAGCATAAGAAGTCCAATGAAGGGGACGCGAAACATAAAAAATCGAAAAAGTCGAAAAGTAAGAAAGAAAATAAATCGTTGGATTATGAGGAAACGGCGGGAATATCCACTCCATCGAAAGAAATATTACCAGAGTTGAAGAACGATATTACGAATTCCGAGTATAATACGAACTCTGTACAACAAAATATGTTCTACGAAGAATTAGCCAAGAATAAGGTCATTTCCATGACATATGAATTGAGGCAAATTCCTCACGACACAAGTAAAGTTATTGTATCAATTTGCATAACAAATATAGGTCAGCCGCTTGTGAAAGAATTAGTTTTTGATGTTCCTGATACATCGTTACTCAAATTAGTTAGAGATGTAAGTTAATGAATATTCTAAGTTTATCATTTAATCTGCAGATTAAGTATTGTATAAAGTATGTATATATTATTTCTATCGCTCTTTTTTCCAGCCCGGAGATGAATTTGGGATAAAACTGCCGTTCCAACTGCCTCTGCAATCTAGTAAAGAAACTCAGTTTACTGTTCTAGTCTCGGACGTGACGTTTGCTCAGAGACTTAGAGGTACACTGACATACATGTTTGAAAGTAAAAATGGCATGGAACAAGAGAAGCTCGATTTTACCGTGCACTTGTCATGTAGCAAATTTATGGTTGGACATCTTTCTCATAAGGACATACTTACGGAACTTCTCAAAAGCGGTCAATTAATATCTAAGACTAGAAAAGAAGTAACAGTTTCTTTGGATTTTGATATGGTTCTAAATATTATCTGCCGCAAATGCAATCTCACACTTGTGGAACAGATTGACGATACTGCATCATTATACGGACACTCTCTGAGGGGACATCATGTGTGCCTTTTGTTAAAATACAATGTAGGTTAAATCATGTATTTATTTATTTTTCTTTACAGTAAAATAAATTGATTGGCTATATTTAAAAACATAGATATTAATTAATATGCTGTGAGATAACGATATTTCAATACTTCATAAATTATTATATTCATGTTCAGTTTACTTGAAACTTGTTTAAACACTATGTATCTTTTTTTAATTTTGGAAGATTAGCAATGTCATAGTCTGATGGCTTTCTATGTTACAGAGAGTGACAGGAAATTTAATAATCGATGGTAAAGGTGACAATAATTCATTACTGTGGGGAATTGGAGAAGAGATATCAAGGATCCTGATATAATACTGATTTAAACTCAAGTGTCTATATTTTACAATTATTGATTCCTACCATACATTAATTACATACATTTGTGGCAGCAAGAGGAACACTTGGGGATTGTATCTGTTATACATAAAATACAAACATATAGCGGCTATATATATAGCGTGTACTTTGCAAACCCATTAAATATTTTCAGAAAGAATCTTACCTAAATTTTAAGTGTAATCTAAATCATACAGTTTGTTAAATATTTAAGAGATATACATATGTATACATGCGTACTATATATACATGTATAAATATATATACACATATACATGTCTATATGTGTGAAGCGGAGTTTTGAAAGAAACAAAAAGGAAGAGTAGCTTATTGTCAAGAATTGAAGGCACTGGGATAAAAGTAGCTTAATGTTTCTAAATAGACTTTAAATTAATGGCATTGATCTCTGATTTGTGCGATTAAAGTTAGAAAAATTTAAATAATTTTAAAAGAAAATTAATTTCACATATTTATTATTATGTGATTATATATACTGATGTTTTCCAAAAATTTCTATAAACTTTTTTATCTTTACAAAATGTTGCATTAATTACTATATAATACTTGGATATATAAAGTTTGCAAATAAAGTTTATCTATTTAGGAGCAGTTCTTTATATAGTTTGAAAATAATTATTACGATAAAAACGGTTGATCTTACTTTTATGTTTAATGCCTTCAATTTTTGTGTCCAGTTGGGATGGTGTAATATTATATTACTATACATATATATGTGTATATATTATATGATGCCTTTTGGCTTTTCTGTGCTGTCTGGGTTGCTTTGTTTATGTCAAACCTTCAAAGATTATCATATTCTTACACACTTTCTTGCGAGAAAGTTGTGTGTACAAAAATAGTTGGAAATTTCTGAACAGAAATTATTTAATTTTAAAATACTAATTTTTATAAAATATAGAAAAGATTTGACAATGACTCTCAAGACAATAAGACTATAATAAATATACATTAATGTGACATTAGATGTACATAAAAGAGACTTATATAAGACGCGTTTACTACTTTGTTTATGTTTTGAGCCTTCAAAGAGATCGCTGGATTCTTACATTTTCTTATGAGAAGAAAAGTGTAACGTACAAAGAATTTGGAATTTTTAAACTGAAAATTATTAATATATATTATAGATCTATATAAATATAAAATTATCCTAAACAGAAACTATTTAAGATAATTTTTCAGTAAGTTAATTTTTCTTAGAACAAAAAATAAGATTTTATACAGCGATTCTCTTAAGGCAAGACTGCTATATACCAATAATGCATATATGACGTTAGGCATACATAAAGCAGACTTATATAAGACAAACTATATGTACTTCTAACAATAAGATTATTTTACGTGCCATTTCTTCTTGTCAAAAATTAATATTATGTTCGTAATTTGACATAATTTTGAAATATTAACCGCGCAGTGCTCGCGATTTTCCAATGGATATATTCTCTACAATGTAAAGTTATTTAAGCATGCATAAAATGCACGATAAAATAGCATATATACAAGATATCGTAAAAAAGATATACATATTTGAAAGCGTACATTTTGGTATATATGTATTGTTGATATCTTTATTATTTTGTAAAATATATAAAATATTATATCTACCATGCGCGCGATACTGTTTTGCCCGATCTTTGTGAAGGAATTATAACAGGCATAGGTGGTGAGCATTGTATTTTGCATGCAACGCTTCCATAATATCGATAATTAATAAGGCAAAAAAATGTATAAATTAAAAAAATTAAACAAATCGTAAATCATTTATATATAGGCACATGTGAAAACTACTATGTATAGTTATGTGTGGAAGAATATGCTCCTATATTTTTGTTTTTTTTGCAAGGCACTTTAAGGCTGCGTTCGAAAACATCATCGCTCATGTGCACACGAGCATCATTTATTCTATCTTTGTTATATACCAAAAGTTGAACAAAGATAAAACAACGCCCCTGTGCACACGGTGGTTTCCGAACGCAGCCTAATTGTGCATCAAATTTTATATCCTTATTCCTTTCTTTTAATATG